GGGTGGGGTAGGTGGATACATGAATCTGGGGGGTGTGATTTCCAGTTTTAAATTTTTGGAAATTTTTTAGAAGGTAGGGTGGGGTGGGGTGATTTTCATATTTGAATTTCTAGATTTTGGGTGGCGTGGGTGGCTGTGTGGAGGTGAGGTAAGGATAATTAATTATATATTATATATATTTAATTGGAATTAACACTTGAATTTTGAAATACTTACAAAGTTTGTTATTTTTGAAATGTGATTTTAATATGTAGGATTTATGTATTGTTCCCATTTCTTTTTGAGCTTTTTATATGGGCTGGGAGACAGTGCTGGGCCCCCCACTACCTTCGCCCCTGCACGGGTTTGTTCTCTATTCAAAAACAAGTTGGGAATTTCTCTAAAATATATAATTCGACAATAAAATATTCACATTTCATAAATGTCATAAAAAGAGTAATTAATAATAGTAGCTTCTTTAATAAAATTTGAATGATTGAGCATTGGACTCGAGTTGATATTCAAACTAGAGTTGGACTAATACTAATATTTGGGCAAAGATTCTGCAATTTCTTTTTAAACTTTTTATACGGGCTGGGAGACAATGTTGGGCCCCCTTCTACATTTGCCCTTGCATGGGTTTGTTCTCTATTCAAAAATAAGTTGGGAATTTCTCTAAGAGGTTACTTTGGTGTTACAATGGAGTTGTAGTATCTGGAGTGAAGATCTCATAGGTAAACTAATGGTTTTGCAGATTTTGGTAAGGAAGTCTCTCATTCATTTTTCCAAAGGTACATTGCTATTGCAAACAACATAGACTTTCCTTTCAAAAACCCTTTAGTAGAAAGTCTAATATTTTAGATTTAGTTTATTCTGATATTTGTGGTCCCATTGATATGAAGTTCTTAGATGGCAATAAGTATTTTCTTACTTTTATTGATGATGATTCACTGAAGTTGCGGGTATTTTATTTGAGATCAAAGGACTAGATTTTCCATTCTTTCAAGAAGTTTCATGATATGGTGGAACGTGAAAGTGGAAAGGTTTTGAAGTATCTTCGAATTGACAACATAGGCGAACTAAAGTGTTTGAAGATTATTGCACAAAGCATGGTATGAAACATGAGAAGACAGTACCTGGTATTCCACAGCACAACAGCGTGGTCGAGAGAATGAACCACACCATTGTGGAAAATGTCGAAGTATGTTAAGGATGTCTAGGTTACCTAAATCATTCTGGGGTGAAGCAATTCGAACATTATGCTACCTAATCAATCGGATTACATCAGTTGTTTTGGATTTTGAGATTCCAGAAAAGATGTGGATAGAAAATGATGTTTCTTATTCTCACTTGAAGGTTTTCTGTTGCAAAGTATTTGCACATGTGCCTAAGGAACAATGTTTGAAACTAGATGATAAAGCTAGTGCTTGCATTTTTTTTTGTTATGGAGATGCAGAATTTGGCTATAAACTATGTGATCCAAAAAAGAAGATAATAATCTGAAGCAAAGATGTGTTTTTTCATGAAAATCATAGATTTCAAGAAATTTAGGAATCAAAGACGTGTTGCTGAAGGTTTCACCAGCCTTACATCTATCTCTTTACCTCCAGACAGTACTTGCTGATGAGACAACAAGAGTTGATGAGGATGATCTAGAGAATGTTGAGCAGGGGAAGCAACCTACCACATCGGAGCTTCAGATTAGAAGATCTACCAAGAAGCATCATCCATCAACTGGATATCCTGTATTAGATTATGTGTTTGTAATCGATAAGGGGGAGCTGATTGCTTTTAGGAGGTACAATCTCATAATTAAGGCTATGCAGGAAGAGATGAATTCTTTGTGGAAGAATAACACTTATGAGTTAGCAAAGCTTCCTAAATGTAAAAAAGGCTTTGAAAAATAAATGGGCATTCAAGCTGAAGAAAAATGGTGAAAAGCTAGGGAAGTATAAAGCTTGATTGGTGGTGAAGAGCTTTAATCAGAAGAAAGGGATTGACCTTGATAAAATATTTTCTCTTGTTGTCAAAATGACTTCCATTCGATTGGTTTTGGGTTTAGTAGCGGGTTTAGTAGCTAGTTCTGGTTTTTGGTTTAGTAGCTAGTTCTGAGAAGTTAGATGTGAAAATTGCCTTTCTCTATGGTGATTTGGAGGAAGAAATCTATATGGTTCAGCCAGTGGGATTTGAAGTAAGAGGAAAATAACATATGGTTTGCACGTTGAAAAAGAGTTTGTTATGTGGGCTTGGTCTAGCCCATGAGGAAATGAAAGGCCCAATCTACTATCATGTCTTGTAGGTCAACATGTGAGGCCTATTTTTCTCTCTTTTTCCTGACTGTGGCTATACTTAAAAACTAGAAACAGAGATTGCCTAGAGATATAAATAGAGGAAAAACTTAGCATCGGCTTTGTGGAGACATTGAAGAGAAGAAGCGTTTTTCTTCCTTCTTGTGGTGTGGATTTCACACAAGTTTGTTCTCTATTCAAAAACACGTTGGGAATTTTTCTAAGTGGTTACTTTGGTGCTACAAAGGAGTTGCAGTATTTGGAGTAGAGATCTCATAGGTTAAACTAATGATTTCAGGGTTGAGATTATTGTTTACTTGGAGATTGATTATAGTTGTATTCCCAAATTGTTGAGAACTCAAGTTTTAGGTATAAACTTGAATGTTATAATATATGTTTATTATAGTGAATTTGACCAGAGTTATCCCATGGTTTTTTCCTCTACACTAGAAGGTTTTTTCCACGGAAAAATTCAATATAGTGTTCTCTTGTTTTTGTTTTGATCATTTACTTGCTAGTTGATTTCTTAGACCGTTGAATCTTTTTTTGCAAGTATTAATTGCCCAACAGTACAAATCTTGCATTGGATGAAAATGAAGATCTGTCCTGAGTATGAACATTGTTTTAGATATGAAATTGTGGATCATTTCGTTATGTATAGATGCTAGGGTACGTGTTGCACGCTTAGGCCAAGTCAGTCCCCTTTTTTGACAAATTAGTTCGGTTTAAAGTTTTCATGTCTAATCTTGAATGATTATTGGCTAGGGAACTTGTCCGCGATGATTGAGTGATTGGGTGCTACGAGACGTAAAATGCAATATTTAAATGAAGTTTTAAGTTTTTAGTTCTGAAGTATATTCAGTGGAGCTTGGTGCATACTGCTATTCAAAGAACGCAATCGATGCTTTATGCTTTTCCCAGAGTTCTCATAAAAAATAATTTTGCATATAAACTTAAAATTCTTCTTCCTTTGTTAACCACACTTTTTACAATAAATTACTATTATAAAATTCATTTTTCATGAAAAAGTTGAACTCAAACGGTGTCTAGTAATGACTAAATTTTGGAGCTTAAACCAATTGATTTTTCACTGCAATTGGTTTAGACAGGTACCATATTGTGAGGATTTTTCTCACGAGATCAAACGCTCTTGGGTTTGTTTTCTATAGTAACATGAACAAAATAATCTAAAACGTTCCTTGTGCCTTCGGAAAAATAAAACGATTGTAATATATGTATATAATGGTTTATATATACATGATGTGGTGAAATATGATAGGATCATATTTTTTTCAACATAAAAAAAAAAAAAAACTTTATCACTCTCTTTTTCTGGTTTCGAACCCACCTGCACGTTAAGATTATGTTTCCGATATTCGATAATTTTGACTAAAATGATATTTAGCCCATGTTAGGTCCAGATTATTTTTAAAATACATTTTTCTCTCTATTATTCTTAACCACATATTTCAATAAAATAATATTGCATGCAAATGTAAAAAAAATTCTTATTTTTTAACCACATATTTTCCGTTGAAAGGATTTTTGTATGGCACAATGATGCAATTGCCCTTGGGCCTGATGAATTTGGCCCAGCTGGTTTATATTATTAAGCCCAGCCTGTGTTTTCTTAAATGGACAGAAAGCGTGAAGTAGGAGAACCTGAAATCGTGTTTCACTTACTCGAAGAATTGGATGGCTGTGATGTCGCCACGTGTTGCCTCCAACTCCGTTGGATTGGAAACTGTTAGGTGACCCATTTAAAAGCCATTTTCTAGGGTTTGAAG